TTGCAAAGGGATGAGGATGGGAAAGGGTGGTCGTTAAGACGAGATCTTTCAAAAGAAGATAGAGAGAAGCTGAAACTGAACCTCGCCAAGGCAAAACATTTAAATGAGAGCAGGAATGAAGAAGAAATAAATTCTTTTTTCTACAAAGTGATAGGGGTAGGCAAACCAGTAAAGTGGTACATAAAGGCAAACCAACAAAATCAATAGAGAGAGGGGGAGTGAAGAATAAGGAGAGGGGGAACAAGTTCCTGAAGATTGCATACACCAACATAGATGGAGTGAGATCGAAGTTACTGGAGTTAAGTGATGTAATACAGCTGCAGACACCAGACATTGTTGCACTCACGGAGACAAAACTTGAAGATGTAATTTTAAATGAAGTCATATTCCCAAGGGGCTACTCAATTTGGAGACGGGACAGAAAAATTAGGAAAGGCGGTGGCGTTGCTGTGCTGGTAAAAGAACACCTAAAGGTGAAGGAAATAATGACTGCCAATCCACAAGAAGTTGACATAATAGCACTAGAGATCTGCTATGAGGATGATAAACTAATGATGATAAATGCATATAGTCCACCGCCAAGCAGCACATGGTCAAAGGAGGAGCTAGATAGTAAACGTGAAGGTCTTATAACAATAATGAGAGAGATTATAGCGAGAGCGGATAACGATAGATCACGACTGTTGATAGTCGGTGATTTCAACTTGAAATCCATAGACTGGGAAGCATATGAAGCTAAAACAGAAGATTTTTGGACCTGTAAATTTGTAGACCTCATCTTGGAAACATTCTTGTATCAACATGTTAAACAAGCTACGAGGATGAGGGAAGGGGACGTTCCCTCCATGCTAGATTTGATATTTACCAGGAAGGAGGAAGAGGTATTTGACATTCAGTACCTTCCTCCCTTGGGTAAAAGTGACCATGTCTTTTTGGGAATAAAGTATGCAATGCGTTATAAGCTGGAAGAAAATAAGGAGGTTGAAGCAGTTGAAAAACCAGACTTCAGGAGAGGACATTATGGTGACCTTAGAAATTTTTTTAGTGAGTATAATTGGACAGACTTGATGCTAGGCAAGGAAGTGAATGAGATGTATGGCAAGTTTTGTGAAATATATGATAAAGGCACAAAAAAATTTATACCAAAACAGAGATGCAGAACTAGGAAACAGGATTGGTTCAATAGAAATTGCGAGAGGGCTAGAGACCGAAAGACACAAAAATGGAATCAATACAGGAAGAGGCCGAACCCCCAAACATACCAGCGATACAAAGATGCGAGAAACAACTACACGGCAGTGAGGAGAGAGGCAGAAAGAAATTTTGAAAAAGGGATTGCGGACAAATGTAAAACAGAACCAGGTCTATTCTATAAATTCATAAACAACAAATTGCAGGTAAAGGATAATATTCAGAGGTTGAAAATGGGAAATAGATTCACGGAAGATGAAAAGGAAATGTGTGAAACACTAAACGAAAAGTTCCAAAGTGTGTTTGTACAAAATGAAATCTTTAGGGAACCAGATACAATAGGAATTCCAGAGAACAACATAGAACACATAGAGGTGTCTAGAGACGAAGTGGAAAAAATGCTCAAGGAGCTCGGTAAGAACAAAGCAGCTGGCCCAGATGGCGTTTCACCATGGGTTCTGAGAGAATGTGCATCTGAGCTCAGCATTCCACTTCACCTGATCTTTCAGGCATCCCTGTGTACAGGAATCGTAGCAGACGGGTGGAAACAGGCTAACATAGTTCCACTCTACAAAAGTGGCAGCAGGGAAGACCCCCTCAATTATAGACCTGTATCATTGACAAGTGTAATAGTGAAAGTATTGGAAAAACTAATCAAAACTAAATGGGTAGAACACCTAGAGAGAAATGATATAATATCAGACAGACAGTATGGTTTTCGATCTGGAAGATCCTGTGTATCGAATTTACTCAGTTTCTATGATCGAGCCACAGAGATATTACAGGAAAGAGATGGTTGGGTTGACTGCATCTATCTGGACCTAAAAAAGGCTTTCGACAGAGTTCCACATAAGAGGTTGTTCTGGAAACTGGAAAATATTGGAGGGGTGACAGGTAAGCTTCTATCATGGATGAAAAATTTTCTGACTGATAGAAAAATAAGGGCAGTAATCAGAGGCAATGTATCAGAATGGAGAAATGTCACAAGTGGAGTACCACAGGGTTCAGTTCTTGCACCAGTGATGTTTATTGTGTACATAAATGATCTACCAGTTGGTATACAGAATTATATGAACATGTTTGCTGATGATGCTAAGATAATAGGAAGGATAAGAAATTTAGATGACTGTCATGCCCTTCAAGATGACCTGGACAAAATAAGTATATGGAGCACCACTTGGCAAATGGAATTTAATGTTAATAAATGTCATGTTATGGAATGTGGAATAGGAGAACATAGACCCCACACAACCTATATATTATGTGAGAAATCTTTAAAGAATTCTGATAAAGAAAGAGATCTAGGAGTGGTTCTAGATAGAAAACTATCACCTGAGGACCACATAAAGAATATTGTGGAAGGGTGCCTATGCTATGCTTTCTAACTTCAGAATTGCATTTAAATACATGGATGGCGATATACTAAAGAAATTGTTCATGACTTTTGTTAGGCCAAAGCTAGAATATGCAGCTGTTGTGTGGTGCCCATATCTTAAGAAGCACATCAACAAACTGGAAAAGGTGCAAAGACATGCTACTAAGTGGCTCCCAGAACTGAAGGGCAAGAGCTACGAGGAGAGGTTAGAAGCATTAAATATGCCAAAACTAGAAGACAGAAGAAAAAGAGGTGATATGATCACTACATACAAAATAGTTACAGGAATTGATAAAATCGACAGGGAAGACTTCCTGAGACCTGGAATTTCAAGAACAAGAGGTCATAGATTTAAACTAGCTAAACACAGATGCCGAAGAAATATAAGAAAATTCACCTTCGCAAATAGAGTGGTAGACGGTTGGAACAAGTTAAGTGAGAAGGTGGTGGAGGCCAAGACCGTCAGTAGTTTCAAAGCGTTATATGACAAAGAGTGCTGGGAAGACGGGACACCACGAGCGTAGCTCTCATCCTGTAACTACACTTAGGTAATTACACTTAGGTAATTACGAGTCACACCACATGTCTGCGCAGCTCCCCCCTCCCCGGGAGAGGGGAAGGGGGAGCCCCAGACCCCCACACTTGCAATCCACCCACCAGTTCTTCGGCTGATGTGATTGTGGCATGGTCGTGTGGCTCCAGTTCCAAACTCTGTGTGTTGTGCTGTACCTTCGGTCAAGTTCTGCTCTTACAGTGACGTGCGAGCTGGGAGTAATATTCACAGGTGCTCGGGCTGTATGTGCTTAGGGTCACCTTCCCTGAGAGCCCTGTAAGTACTGCCCTTGGGGGTTTGGGTTTATCATCCACAAGTCATCATGGGGTCTACCTCTGTTGGTCTTTTGCTGCTCAGCACTTGACCATCCCAAGTGTTTAGGGGGGGGTTTCCGCCCTTGTTTACCTTGGGGTAAGTGGTAGTTTTTGCACTGGTAGGGGGGCGCGGGGTACTGCATAGCTAGTTTTCATCTATTACAGTGGCCAGCTCTGTTGCTCCTGGGTATGTTGTTCTCTTGCAAGGTTTTTCTTTTTCTTTTTCTTTTTTTTGCCTGGTGGGGGGGTCTGCCTTGGTGTCTTTTCCCCCAGTTATATTAGGGTTTGACCTTCTGTTTTCAGTGGTATCCCCCTGCTTTGCCCTTGTGAGTGGACATGTCCCAGGGGTTCAGCATTAGCAGTTTGTTTGGTAGCATGAGCGCTGGTTAGCAGTACCCTGACAGGGCTTACCCTTAGCGATACCAGTCTAGGGGCCCTGGGAAACCCCACAGGGGCACACGGGGTCTGATGGATGCGACCCCTGGGTCCCCCTCTCGCCTTGTGCGAGTTTGACGGTTGCTCTGTCCCCTTGTCTCAGGGCGACGCTCATAGTATTTGACTCCATCAAGCTGCCTGTTGGGTCGATGACATCTTCGACCCGGAGTCCTGCGAGCATTGTGTGATCACATTAGTGTGATTTCTCTGTGTATTAAAAGAGAAGCATCAGAGGTAGAACAAGTCCTAGATGACAGAGCCAGAGTGCATAGGGGGATTGTGTGAAAATCCTGTTCCAGCTTCAGTAGAAGCCTCAGGCAATTCTTGTGTGTTCAGTAGAACTCCAGGTTGCAATCCTTATACCATGTCATTGTCTAGTTGCTAGAGTGTGTGCTTGGGAACACCTACCATAAACATTCAAACCCTCATCACGGCTCCTACGGATTTTCTCGTCGATGCAGTCACGCTAGTGTGATTACTCTCTGTGTAATAATAATAATAATAATAATAATAATACACAGACATCATTTAACATGATACAGGTTTATCAAAGAACAAATCCACAGGAGCCTTGGTGTGGGTTGGAGTGGTGCAGTTGACTAGAGTGTGTCTGGGAACACTCAGTGCATAGGTTTGAACCCTCATCAAGGCTCCTGTGGATTTATTCAATAATAATTATAATACAGGTAATAATAATAATAATTAATAATAATAATAATTAATAATAATAAAATCTGTAGGAGCCATGATGACAATTTGAACCTATGCGCTGGGTATTCCCAGGCACACGCCCCAGATAATTAGGCTACGACATGGTCAAAAAGACTGCAACCTGGTGTTCAACTGAACCCATGAGGGTTCCTGAGGCTTCCATTGAAGCCAAAGAGGGTGTTACAATCTCCCTATGCCCCTGGGAATCAGTAGAACCCCAGGTTGTAATCCTTTTGACCATGTTGCGGTCTAGTTGTCTGGGGTGTGTGCCTGGGAATTCCCAGCGCATAGGTTCGAATCCTCCTATGGATTTTTTCATTGATATTTCATATAAGTGTAATTTGTCTGTGAGTTATAATAATAATATTCATGATAAAAACACTAGCTTAAACTAATGTTCATAATTTATTTTTTTCACCAGCCAGCCAATGATCCATTTGGCATCTCGGCAGAAGACCTGGTACTGAGTCTAAGATGTGCCTTGTCATCCACACCATTGTTTGCTCCTTACTGTGTCCCTCTACTCCAGGAGAAACTAGACTCAGATGTTATTTCTGCTAAACTGGACTCGCTGCATACTTTGGTGAGACGCTAGAATTAGAATTAATTTACAGTTATAAATGTACTGGTTTTTGAAGAATCTAAATGAACTAAAGGGATTTTCTGGGGTGGGCTTCTCTTGGTATCTTAGATGCCACCAAGGAGACCTGCCAGAAAAAGGCGTTTCATTACACTCGACGCTTGATTTTTTTGTTCTGGCCCCTTCAGTTTCTCATTGGAGCTTACGGAACTGGTATCGCAGGGCCACCCTCCTATATTTAAATCCAGAGCTTTACTTGGCATTCTGGTAATCAGAATTTGGTTCCCTCGAAGAGGTAAGAACCAGTTGGATTGACAGTGGAGAGGCAGGACCAAAGAGCCGAAGCTCAACCCTCGCAAGCACAACCAGGTGATAGCACATGGGATCAGAGATCAGTCTTACAACCAGAGTGAATCAAATGTAACAAAAAAGAAAAGGCAGCTCTATGAGAAAGAGATGAAATGAAAAATAAGCTAATCAATAGTACAGTAAAACAGAGTTTGCCCAAACTACCTCAGATGTGACCAGATGACAGCCCAGGTCACCGAGGGCCCAGCCACGCTCCTCACCACTCCACATGACATGACCCTCAACCCCCACAGGGAAGAGGAGAATAAGAGGGCAATAAAGGCATTACTGAGTAATGATAGATTGAATGTAATGATATGCCATAAAGTGGCATATCATTACATTTAATGCTTAATGTCTGTCCAGCTCAATGGTGGTCCAGGAGCCTATGGCACTGCTACCATGGGACCCTCCCTCCCTATGTCAAGTTTCTGGGCCTTTCTTGACCTACTGGTAATCCAGATTTGAAAATGAACAAAAGTCATTTCTTCATCTTCTTGTGTGTGTAATTACCTAAGTGTAATTACAGGTGTGTGTGGGGTTTGGTCATCATGTTTTCACCATGTTACCGTGACTCGTCTCCAACCCGGATTAGAATCAATTTATTTACTGTTGCTTAATGGGAACAGTAAAGGCAGCAACCAGTGAATCCAGATGGCAGGACAGAAGAGACAACACTAATGGTAACAAACACAAAGGACAGTTGCCAAAGAAAGAGAGGCAGGAAACCTGCAAAGCCACTATATAGTGGTTACTTAGTAGATGTCATGCTTTATTTGTCAACGCACCAGTTCTACTCGGCTCAATTGCATCTGGAATTCTCCTCATTGGGGGTTGATTCTTCGCCAGCCTTGATCTAAACTTTTATGGCCCCTTGGGCTTTCCCAAGTTATTTTGCCACTTCTCTGGGTGGTAGTGTTGGTTTTCTTTGTGGCCTGCCATTCCAGATGTGCTGTTCTTTTGGGGAACCCCTTGTGACTCCCTGAAGCTATCGTGTTTACATGGCTCCCATCTACTAGGTCACATAAGCCATGGAGTTCTGTTTTGCCTATTGGGGACCAGAGCCAGAACCTGGTCCCCCCCTCATGTAGGCATGGGTGACATCTGCCACCTCACCAGGGAAGCATTCAGAAAGTTGAAGAACCAATCCATACCAATGTTGGGTTCAAAGAGACCACAGGCCACAGACTATTGCCAAATGAACTCCCCAAGCACTGTAAACAAACAATCAATTCTCTTGAAACTAGCATGAGCTTGGTAGCACTTATATCCTGCCAGTAAGTGAGGGTGGGGCAGGGCTCCAGGTCACTCCTAGCCTCCAAGCCCGTTCTGTCACTGATCTGTGTCTAAGGTCACACACTGTAGGGCTGCCAGGTTGTCAAGCAGTTGTGTTGGTCCCGCTGCTTCTAAGCTTAGTGCCGGCCATCCTGGGACTTTGCCCTGCGGGGGCCTATGCTTGGTATTGTTCTGCATTTTACTTAGCTTCATGAGTGTTTTTGTTCAGTCTGTGTTGTATGACCTCTCTTGTAAGGTGCTTGGAGTTAAATGTATCCAGGACTACTGTCCCTTCAGGGGCCTAGAGCTAAATGTATCCAGGACTACTGTCCCTACAGGGGCCTAGAGTTAAATGTATCCAGGACTACTGTCCCTACAGGGGCCTAGAGTTAAATGTATCCAGGACTACTGTCCCTACAGGGGTCTAGAGTTGTACAGCGTCTAAAGGTACAGGGCCTAGGTCCCCTGTTCCAAAGCTCATCTTTCTCAGGTCATCTGCAGTGTCATTAAGTCTAGCCATCCTGCAGTCTACCCCTCCTGCTCGTGACATCCGGAATTATGCTGCTCGTTCTGCTGTTTTGCAGAAACAGGCTAAGCTTGGTTTTGTCCTAGACTAAATTTGGGCGTGAGATTTTGGAGGTTGACCTGGGCTCTGGTGGCCCAGTCAGTATCTGGTCACTGTTCCCCGAGCCTCGGCACCCGTGTCTGCTTCAGTTGGCTTCCTCGGCTGACTGACCGTTCTTTGTTATGATACCTGCTGTGCTCCCTCCTCCCTGGTTAGTGCCCCCTTATTCCTTCTTATTGGGTAGTTAGTTTTAGGGAGCCACAAGGGGCTTGTCTCAGAAAACCAGTATTGAATGCAAAGAAATGCCTTGATCATACCTTACCATGATGTGGTTCTGGGACTTGTTCTACTCCCCAAGCTCCTCAAAGTTCCAATCACACAAGTCAAGCCCAAGCTTGACTTGTGTGATTTGACATTTAGAAAGCTTTCAGACGATCCCAACTGTTTAGGTGCTCATCATGTCTATATATTCCATACAATATATGTTTTCTGTATTCCCTCTATTTCAGCAATCTCTCCTATTCTGAGGGGGGAGTGAGTACCGAGCAGAACAAATGATTTATGGGAACAGTATAAGCATTGCAATGTGATCTCTGGATTTGAAGGTTCTCATAATCCATCCTATCATTTTTCTGGCTGATGTTATATTGGGGAGCCGGTCGGCCGAGCGGACAGCACGCGGGACTTGTGATCCTGTGGTCCTGGGTTCAATCCCAGGCGCCGGCGAGAAACAATGGGCAGAGTTTCTTTCACCCTATGCCCCTGTTACCTAGCAGTAAAATAGGTACCTGGGTGTTAGTCAGCTGTCACGGGCTGCTTCCTGGGGGTGGAGGCCTGGTCGAGGACCGGGCCGCGGGGACACTAAAAAAAAAAAAACGAAATCATCTCAAGATAACCTCAAGATATATGCTAGGTTATGCTCCCTAAACGTTGAGTTGTTACACATTATTATTCCCACATCCTTTTCACGTTGTTTTCTTATTGTGGGCAGATGGATTGTGGTTTGTACCCTGCATTATGTGTAAGGTCTTTTCACGTTGTTTTCTTATTGTGGGCAGATGGATTGTGGTTTGTACCCTGCATTATGTGTAAGGTCTTTTCACGTTGTTTTCTTATTGTGGGCAGATAGATTGTGGTTTGTACCCTGCATTATGTGTAAGGTCTTTTCATGTTGTTTTCTTATTGTGGGCAGATGGATTGTGGTTTGTACCCTGCATTATGTGTAAGGTCTTTTCACGTTGTTTTCTTATTGTGGGCAGATAGATTGTGGTTTGTACCCTGCATTATGTGTAAGGTCTTTTCATGTTGTTTTCTTATTGTGGGCAGATGGATTGTGGTTTGTACCCTGCATTATGTGTAAGGTCTTTTCACGTTGTTTTCTTATTGTGGGCAGATAGATTGTGGTTTGTACCCTGCATTATGTGTAAGGTCTTTTCACGTTGTTTTCTTATTGTGGGCAGATAGATTGTGGTTTGTACCCTGCATTATGTGTAAGGTCTTTTCACGTTGTTTTCTTATTGTGGGCAGATAGATTGTGGTTTGTACCCTGCATTATGTGTAAGGTCTTTATTTTGACCATACCTAAGTACAGCCACCTGGGGTTCTTCACTGTTAACCACTGCGATGCGCGGCCTTAAAATATGGCATTCCCGCTGTGCGCTGAACATAAATATTTTGCAAAAAATTATTTTCTCTTCTTATATTGTTAAAATACAGTCTCTGATCTCGGGGAACTAAAAAAAGAATTGTATGTGACATACTTTAGCCGTGATGGAGCTGGGAAGTTGAGTGAATTATGGGCGCTGAGCTATGGAGTGCTCAAGGTCACTAGGCCCCACCACCTCGTGGGGCGGAAGTTGCCGCGAATATGTTTCACAATTATTTTGATGGTTCTCATTCATTTCTTCTCTGTTTTTTTTGCTGTAATATTATTCAAAAGTGTGTAATTTGTGGAATTTATATAGTTCAATGTGTGGAACATCGCTATGCTCAAAATTGTGGGGCCTCATATATTTGACATATATATTATATTCTACAATCAATCAGTGTTTTTGCTGTTATAGCACTATATACACACATTGTATATACCTATCTACATATGTGTTCACCATAATAAACCACTAAGTTGGCATATCTTGAGCTTATCTTGAGATGATTTCGGGGCTTTCAGTGTCCCCGCGGCCCGGTCCTCGACCAGGCCTCCACCCCCAGGAAGCAGCCCGTGACAGCTGATTAACACCCAGGTACCTATTTTACTGCTAGGTAACAGGGGCATAGGGTGAAAGAAACTCTGCCCATTGTTTCTCGCCAGCGCCTGGGATCGAACCCAGGACCACAGGATCACAAGTCCCGCGTGCTGTCCGCTCAGCCGACCGGCTCCCTCATGGCATAGTGAGCACAAAACAACAAGAGTAACCGTGACAGCAGCTTGCAGACGCTACCTCCCTCCCTCCCTCCCTCCCTCCTTCAACGCCCACTTACCAACATTCCTCCTCCCACCATGCTGTTATTGTTTTTATTACACTATTTACACATGTTATATATGAGTATCTACATGTTTTATTCACCATTACTATACAACTAAGCTGGTATGGTGTCCAAACAACATAGTAGCAACCACACACTGCATGACAAGTCACACAGCAGCCAGCAGACAACAGCCTCACTCACTCCCTCACCAACACCTCTCTCACCAAAATGGCTCCTTCCAACATACTCCTGTTGCTGTTATTACACTCTATACACACTTTATATATATAAGTATCTACATCTGTGTTCACCATAGTGAACCACTAAGCTGGTATGATGAGTCCAG